GATCAAAACTTTTGTTCTCGGTCCCCGTAAAATACTTCTTTCTTTCCTACAACAAAATTTTGCCGTCTCCTTGCTCTCTCTCCTTAGTATTTGCGTGTAGAGTACACTGAGACGACAAGTTGAGCTTTTGTGAGATAAGCAAATGGCATTAGATACTCTCCTCCAAACTTCATAATTTTAATTCATATTTATTTATATGTAAATTTTATTGTTCAGAGTTGCCACAAAACTAAACCCAACATGCTCAATGTCCATCTAATTCCGCACACACACGATGATGTTGGTTGGCTCAAAACTGTGGATCAATACTATTATGGCAGCAAAACACTCATACAAAAAGCCGGTGTCCAATACATCTTAGACTCGGTGGTGCAAGAGTTGCTAAAGGATCCCGAGAAGCGCTTCATTTATGTCGAATCGGCATTCTTTTTCAAATGGTGGCGCGAACAGGATGCCGAATTGCAAGAGCAAGTGAAAAAGTTGGTAAACGAAGGACGACTGGAGTTCATTGGTGGCGCTTGGAGTATGAATGATGAGGCGACAGCGCATTATCAGAGCATTGTCGATCAGTTTACATGGGGTTTAAGGTAATTAGGATTTAGATATGTTACAAATTTAGAATTTTTTGGATTTTTAGACGCCTGAATGATACCTTTGGCGAATGTGGGCGCCCGCGAATTGGCTGGCAGATCGATCCCTTCGGTCATTCACGCGAAATGGCTTCCATGTTTGCGCAAATGGGCTTCGATGGACTCTTTTTCGGACGCTTAGACTATCAGGATAAGATGGAGCGTTTAACAACTAAAACAGCGGAAATGATTTGGCGTGCCTCGGCGAATTTAGGTGGGTAAAAGTTTGCACATATACAAATTTTAGACATTAAAATTTTGCTTTTTTGTAAGATGAATCCTCCCATCTTTTCACTGGCGCTCTCTACAATCAATACCAGCCACCGCCTGGTTTTTGTTTCGATATACTCTGCGCTGATGAGCCAATAATCGATGCCAAGCATAGTCCCGATAATAATGTTAATCGTAGAGTGAGTATGACGAATCTGTATCCACTCATGAACACTTCATATACCAAAAGAGTTTTTGGTTAATTTAAAACTAAATATTCATTCTTAGACATTCTTGCTGTTTTAACTTCTAACCTTTTGCTTTAGGTGAATGATTTTTTGAAATTTATTAATCAACAAGCGCAATATTATCGCACTAACAATATTATCATTACGATGGGTGGCGATTTTACATATCAGGATGCTAATGTTTATTTCAAAAATTTGGATAAATTGATAAGGTATAGACTAAATTTAGAGAATAACGGTTGCTGAAATAAATACTAAAGAATTTTAAGAATTTAAGCATTGAAAAACCGTCGTTGCTTGAAACTTTTACTCAACTGTCTATTGCACGAAAAATATTTACGAATCTCGAGCCTCCTCAAAATTTGTTTGCCGGCTTTACAAATTCCAGATTTCGTATGCGAATGCATCCATAAAAAATCGATTATTTATCGATAAACCTTTCAATAGAAAAATCGATATCGATAACCATTTCGACAATTGAATCGGAAAACATATCGATGACATCACCAAAAAAATAATCGTAGTATTATCGATAACCATATCGTTAAAAAATCGGTACTGATATCGATAAATGAATTATTGACCATACCGATTAAATGAAATAGTAGCGAACATAATATAGAAAATATCGATCGATAACTTTACCGATATCGCCCATTTTTATCGATAATGATATTTTACAAGTAAAAGATTCAGATTGATGGTTTTGGAAAGGGAGCGTGTTAAATGGGTTCTTTTCGCAGAATTTTTTCTTTTTTTAAACTTTGATTTTCTAATTTTCCATCTGCATGAGTCCTCATTTTATTATAACTAAGCTCATGAACCCGTTTACTCATAGACTGTGTAGTATTTTTGCGCTTCAGTATAAGTCTTACATAATATTGAATATTTTAGGTCGATGAATTCATCGAAATTTCTCGAAACATGTCCAAAGGATATCGCACTAATCATATACAAGTTACGATGGGTGAAGATTTTCACTATCAAAATGCGATTAGCTGGTTCAAAAACTTGGATAAGTTAATCAAGTGAGTAAAATAAATTCGACGCCAAGATTTCAGCAACCCTTATCCACCATCAGCCATATTTTAATTTCCCTTTATAATAGAAAGCAAATCGCTCACCCGTCTTAATAAACCCACAGGTACACTAACGCACGCCAGGAAAACGGTTCCACTGTAAACCTTCTCTACTCCACACCCTCCTGCTATCTAAAGTCTCTACACGATGCAGGCATCAGTTGGCCCACCAAGGATGATGACTTCTTTCCATACGCTTCCGATCCACATGCCTACTGGACTGGTTACTTCACTTCACGTCCCACACTAAAGCGTTACGAACGGATTGGCAATCATTTTCTGCAGATTTGCAAACAACTCACCGTAATGGCGCCAAAAGTCGCCGGCGAATTCAATCCACATCTCTCGTTCTTCCGTGAAGCCATGGGTGTGATGCAGCACCACGACGCCGTCACCGGTACCGAAAAGCAGGCTGTAGCCGCCGATTATGCACGTCATTTGGAAGTTGCCATTCGCGCATGCTCCATGAATACCCGAGCGATACTCAATCAGCTGACCGTAGACACCGCAGCAACGCACGCGGCGGAAAGTGCTACTGAATCTGCCCGCGAAAGTGCACGCAAACCCAGATGGGCGACCAGCGATACTAAGAAGCAATACAAGTTACAATTCGAAACTTGTACGCTGCTTAACATCAGTTCATGCGCGGTGCCAGAGCTGGCCGACAAATTTATTTTGACGATATACAATCCGTTGGCGCAGACGGTCTCCGACTACGTGCGCGTACCGGTGCCCGATGTGAATTATCGTGTTAAGGATTTCGATGGTGCGTTTAACAGATAAGTTTTGAGCGCTTTGATGAACAAATTTTATATTTTCTGATCTTCCGTAGATGTGACGATAGAGACGCAATTCCTGCCAGTGCCTACGCCTGTGCAAGATCTTCGTTTCCGCAAGGCGAGCGCGCCGTATGAGCTCATATTTCCTGCACGTGAGCTACCGCCAATTGGCTATAAATCGTACTATATAATGAAGACAGATGAAAACCACATGATACCCGTGCCGGATCCGGAAAATGTGTCGAGTTTCACAAGCATCGGAAATGAGGTACTACTAAGCTTTTGTAACTTCGAGTTCACATTTCCTTTAATCTCACAATTTGTTTCTATTACAGCACATACGTCTCACATTTGACACTAACGGCTTTCTTGTCACCGTCATGGTCGACGGCATGACGCGTATCGTCAACCAAGAATTCGTTTACTATGAAGCTGCTATCGGCAACAACCGCGAATTCCGCAACCGCTCATCAGGCGCCTACATTTTCCGTCCCGCCAACGATCAAGTCCGTTCAATTTCACTGCAACCCAAATTGAAAATCTACCGTGGCAATCTGGTCGAGGAAGTTCACCAATCTTTCAACGACTGGGTCAGTCAAGTAGTGCGCGTCTATCGCGAGCAGCCCTATGCAGAGTTAGAATGGCTTGTAGGTCCTATACCAGTGGATGATGGCAACGGCAAGGAGATCATCAGCCGCTTCAATTCAGACATTAATTCCGGCGATATATTCTACACCGATTCTAATGGGCGTGAAATGCTCAAGCGCAAGCGTGACCATCGCGATACTTGGAAGGTGAAATTGTTGGAACGCGTCGCTGGCAACTATTACCCAATCACAACGAAAATCGCGCTGGAAGATGACACTGCGCGCATGGCTATACTGACAGACCGCGCACAAGGCGGCAGTTCGATGGGTGCTGGTTCATTGGAGTTGATGGTGCATCGGCGTTTGTTGCACGATGATGCTTTTGGTGTGGACGAGGCACTTAACGAAACCGCCTACGGTGAGGGCTTGGTGGCGCGTGGCACACACTATTTAATAGTGGGTTCATCGAACAAAAAAGTGAGTCCTACAACGCAGGCAATTGAGCGTACAACGCAATTGCGGAAATTGCTGCCCGCTTGGACTTTCTTCAGCAATGCAGAAAATATAACCTACGAGGATTGGCGTGAGAACTTTACCAATATTGTGAGTTTATCTTTGGTAAATTTTATATGTAGTTATAATACATTGTACGCTCTCCACTTACAGTTCACCGGCTTGCAGTTGGAACTACCCAAAAACATACACCTCATGAGCTTCGAGCCGTGGCATGAGAATGAAGTGCTCGTACGCTTTGAGCACATACTCGAGAAAGATGAAGATCCCGAGCTCTCCAAGTCCGTGCAAATTAACATACAAAGCGTTTTGTCGAGCGTAAAAATCGCTGACATTCGCGAAACCACACTGGCGGCCAATGCTTGGCTCGGTGATAATCAACGCATGGAATTTGTGCCAGATAGTCCTGAGGTATCCTACAACGCTTATGGAATTTACCAAAGGTCGATTGATGAACAACTTATGCTGCGCGTTGACAAGCCGCTCTTGGACGCCAAATTCTACAATCAGCTGGAAAGTTGGGAGGAACAAGAGCAATTGGCGTTACAAACGAATCGTTTGAAACGCTTAGTCGACGAATCGCAAGAGCTGAATCGTGTGCGTGCAGAAAAGTTACGTGTGCACAAAGTGGCACGGCAGCCAGTGGCGGAAAAATATGTCGAGGGTGATGATCGCTTCCTTATCGAATTGGGTCCAATGCAAATGCGCACCTACATACTCACGCTGGAGATAGCCAACTAAAGAAGCAACAACAAGTGTAGTTTAAGAAGTCAAGATTTTAAACTTTATCTGCTTAGTTTTAAACCAAAATATCGAACAATAAATATAGAAGCATAATTTTTAGAATGCTGAAATCGACAAAGTACAGCAAGCAAGCCATCTCAATAAATACATACATACAAGGTAAGCAAATTAGATTACATTAGTAGACGAAAATAGCTTGCTTTATTTGTTGCTTTCATCTTACTCGTCTCATTCAACATTGTGTCCTTTGCCTTAGCTTGGCTGAGAGCATTTATCAGCCTAAGCTTCGCTCGGCCGCCCACCACGTTGTTCCGTAATTTTGAATTGCAAAAGCACAACCAAATATGTAGCCATGTAGGTGAGATTCTTGAATAGAAAACAACAACAAAAAATATTTATAAAAACTAATAAACTCACCAAATAACCAATTCTAAACTGTAGTTCTATACCTACCGCCGAAAAAAGTTCCCGATTAATATTTGCATAGTCATCCAAATTCATTATGGGTGGCGTCTTTGCTATGGCCAGCAGAAACATTTGCACCTCTCTCTGTGTAGGCGAATCCTGCACTGTCAAATTAACATTCAGTAGTTTCGTTTGGAAATCCAGCCCCACCTTACGTGAGGCGTAGTGTGCCTCATTGCATATAATATACAATAGACTCATGCAATAGAACATTATGACGAATAGTCCAATCTCCTTGTATGTGGCACCGTGATCCATAATTTCACTTATCGAACCATAAGCAGCGGTGAGCGTTGTGAAGAAAATGACCAAACAGTACATGCCATACATGTTGGAGTAGGCACGACCTAGGGATGAGAAATTTGTTTGAAAAAATTACCAATACTAACTAAATAAATGAGACTTTTTATTAATATTTTACTAAATGCTGAAATCTTTCTTTGTGTTAATGATTTCTACACACAGATGAGCGCATTTCAGGTGTCATGATGGTCGTAACCACTGTTGCCACAACACTTCGGCTATGCCGAAGGCTTCATACCTTTCATAAACATCTGCAAATTTTACTTTGACCCGATCGTTGTAATTTTCACTGTAAGTATTCTGTTGATAATGGGTGCAAGTACTGCAAAATTTCATGTTCCTAGCTGCATAAATGGAGAAGTTATAACGAAAAATCTCATATCTGAACAATCAGTTGTATGGGAGCTATA